CATGTTCTGTATGATTATCCTGTAAATTAGTTTACCTTTATTTCAGTGATTGATTGATCACAATAATCTTATTTTTGTTTTTGTTAAATTTGACTACAGGAAAATAATAAAAAGTTTAAATAATAGTTTATTCATATTAGGATTATCATCAGCCAAGGAGGCCGTTTCGAAAACAGAGTTTCCTCAACCTCTGTTTCTGTTGCCATGGTAACCTTCTCCTCAGAGCTAACCTGGTCAGCAGCAGGTTTTATTCAGTGAACTCGATGTCCTCCGCTCTCCTTACAGCCAATCATGCTGTTTGATATCCAAATTTAGTCTGATTTTTCTAGTAGTTTTATGCATAAAAAATATATATATCATTCACTAGGTCCATTACACACATTAGGTTTAAAAAACAAACATTGCAGGTCCGTTTTAGGATGACCTTATTAAAGAATGAGTTGTTCTTTTTCACAGAGAATTAAATATTTAAAGGGAGAGGATTAATTGGTTACCGCTGATTTAGACCATTAGAAGCTGCTTTTATGCAAACAGAAACGAGAAGAATGAAGGACTCAGGATAATCTGGGATTGTTTCATGGCTTCATGCTGTGAAAGAATATAAGCTGCTGTCTTTATGACGCTGCTTCCCTAAAATTGTTTTTTTTTTTTTAACCAGTGAGAATCAAATGTAAAGCTGGATGCAGGATGAAATAAAAGATTCATTTCTTTTGAGGCTTTTTGTTTTCGGGGGTTCAAGGCAAAGTGGCTGCAGGTTTGAGTGTTTGTCTCTGAATTCGGAGCCTCCCTGCATCTCCTGCTGCCTTCCTACGATCTGGAGCCTCATGCAGAATAAAAACCTCCCTCACACTTTCCCACCATTCTCTCCTCAGTGCGTTCTCTACCTCTGGTCGCTTAAGATCAACCACCCCTCCACACTCTTCCTCCTGCGTGGGAACCACGAGTGTCGGCACCTCACAGAGTACTTCACCTTCAAACAGGAATGTAAGTGCACCACTTTCCTCCATATCCAGGCCGAGCAATCCAACGCTCTCCCGCACACTTTGCACCACTTCATGGTAGCCTGTCGGCAGGGTTTTAGACCGTCTGGGTGAAGAAGTGTGGCACGCAGCAAGGCGTCTGAGAACACAGCTTTAATCAGGATGTTTCAAAGCAGAAACTCAGGCAGGCCAGAGAGAGAGAAGATCAGCGTAAAGTAGAGCTGAGACAATCTAATAATAGTAATAATCTAAATAATTTACTAATCGATTAATCGTTAACTGGAGTATTGAGACTAAAGCGCGCCTTTAGCTGATAGAGCGACCCACTTAGAGCAGGAACTATACCAAGATTGTAAATTCACGACCATAAGGCGCACCGTACTATAGGGCGCGGGTT